CAAAACTGCAGTAATGGAAATCTGAGATGTAGTTACTGGCCAAAGGCCAGCAGAGACATTGGTCAGTTGGATGTGTTGCTTTCCTCCCAGCTGCAAAAGAGTTTCAGCAAGGGAAAACAAAATTAAATGTGCCATAATAATTGGAAAAAATGAAAATGTTACCACATTGCAGCAAAATGCATAAAGCACTGAGGTGCTTCTGAAGAGCTATCGAAAACACAGCACTTCCATGTCCTTGCTTCCAATCACTTACTGATGCACAATTCAGAAGGTGACCCCTAATCTAGGGTGTTCCCACACCTGGCACTTCATGCTACTTTAGCTCAGAAAGGAGCAGTAAATATCCAGAAGAAAGAAAACCCCAGCATAAAAGTCCCTCACCTATCCTTCCCTGCAATTAATTGTGATGCAAATACTAATTTTCTTTCACTAATTCATCAAGAAAACCCTTGAATCTGAAAGTTCTTTATGGATTTTCAAGAAATTAAATTGCCTCACCATGGTGTAACTCGCTATTCTGCTTCTAACCTGCTCTTAAAGCAAAGAGAGAATGAAAAAACAATCCTTGTAATCAATGTCTGCAGAAATGTTCACTTGTCCCATGTGCCTGGTGATGTTTTGTTAAAAAATCATACAATTAGGAGCCTAGAAGATGTAGAAAAATGCATTTTGAGCTTTCTCACAATTTTCATGGTATATCCAACTCTCTCTACATGTTATTAGCAGGTTTTTTTCAGTGCATACTATTAACCCAGTTGACTTCTTTCTGGTATCTGATATATAAATCTGCACTTAGCAATACAGCAGAATAATTTGCTATGTGGTGCTCCTGTGATAAGGATAAGAGGATTTTTTTTATCATCATTACGGATGGTAATAATTCCTAGAGTGATACAGAGATATTGATCCACTGATCTAAAAAAAGCATTTTACAAAGGCAGGAGAGCATCGCTACCCTTATTTTAAGCAACAGGATAACAGAGATGATGAGCGACCAACTCACCTGTGGTCAATACAGCACATCAGTGGCACAGCTACACAGCTACAAATCAAACCTGGGGATTTCTGGCTATATTTGCACACTCCAGCTCTTAGTGCCTGGCTGTCTGTGTTTGAATCTGTGGTCATGTAGACATTACATAGTGCTGGGAGTCAGGTGGTCTGCAAGTTTCCTTAAGCCGTTTACAATAAGTAAGTTAAAATCTTAATCATCTGAGGCAGTTCACTTCTACTTTTTCATGATAATGAGGCTTAGCACATGATATCACAATCATGAATTTTTGTAAAGCATATTTAGCTCTTCAGAAAAAGTGCTGGATTAAACAACCCGGCAGGCTGAATCCTTCTCTTGGAATAATGAATACTGTAGAGGAAGTGGCAAGCTTCTTTAGATAGTCCCATGAACCCTGCTCAAGAGGCAGCCAGCCTCTGTGGCTGTGGGTCCCTGGGTTCTTTATCTCTACAGCCAACAGGGTATTTTTATTTTTTAATACCTTTCACAGCTAGGAATTACTTGCTGCCAGCCAGCTAATTTCACAGGGGCTATCCCAGATTTTTTGGAAGGCAATGCCTTATGGTTGCTGCCTATTCTTGTAGCTGATTGAAATATAGCAAATTACAGGTATAAATAATGGTTATTTCTTAGATGCGGGAGTGAGTAACAATGGGGGAAAATGTGACTCAAGCCAAAAAAAAAATAATCTCAGTTTCTTTAAAATACTGCTCCGCCACTGGAGTGCTGTATCATTACTTTGGTCTCATTTTAGAGCTGAGTTTCAAGCAGCTGACAATAGGAATTTGGACTAGAAAAGGTGATGGTCCATTATCAGTAGTGACAGCAATGGCTGTGACTTTGTTAAAGTTCTGTCAGCTTTGGTTAGGAACCAAGTTCTGCCCTCTTGGTTAGGAACTACAATGAGCTCCATCTCTCTCCCCTTCTCCCTTTAGCTCAGCACTTATATCACACTCATCACTAAGTGTTACATTTTCCCTTGATGCCACAGGATGGGATTTCTCCTTGCTACTGGAGCCCATATGGTACAATACAACTCTATATCCTGCCTATGAGTTGACAGCTGACTGTTTACCCTCCCAGTGGTAACACTGCTGATGTAGTGTAGCCATGGGCCAAAATAAAAGTCAACCAAAACTTTTTTAGTCTTTACTAAGTAGAAAAAACTCAAACCCAAACCCAGTCTAAACCAAAATTGTTCTACTGAGCTGTGTAACCTGGAGCTATTCCTTGCAACTATCTGCTGAAAATGCAGATTATTTGCCTGAACTCTTTAAGAAAGCTTGAAAACTGGCATAAATACCAAGGAAGATACAGTTCAAGCTTTTTTCATCTGAGATAACATGAGGTGTACTTATTATGCAATTGAAAAGAGATACCAAACAGAGTTTACTGGACCACATTTCCATCTCACTGCTGTGAGCACTGAACTAAGCTCCTGAAAGTTCTGGCATGGCAAGGTCAGTGTTTTCCTCAGACAGTGACTATTTTTCATTCACCCCTCTGTGTCTAGGAGGGAAGCACATCTGGATGGGTGATGAGAAAATAAATTATGTTTGTGGCAAAGGGAATTAACATCTTGGAAATGGTAACATGAATTAAAACTCATTAAAGATTTAGAACTCTTTACAAAGATTTAACAGTGTAAATTCTCCCTCCTGAAGCAGTTTTTCACCTTGTGCTTTTTCAGTCAAGCTCCCTCCTCTGCAGATGTCCCTCAGCACTTTTCATTTCAACTGCAATACCAACCATTTTCACAACACTTTGCCTTCTCTCATGGAGTGGTGGTTTTGTGAAGCTGATAAAAATCTGCTTGAAAACCTGGTTGGTGCAGCTGAACCCATTTTGAAGTGTGAACATGGGTGTGTAGAAAGCAATTCGAGTTTAACAAGGCATGAGGCATGAGGGCATGATGGAATAGCAGTCGTGATTGTGACCGAAATGAACCCGAGCGGCACAGAGGATGCAGCTCTGCTGTGGTTACTGGTGTGTGACCTACCTGGACTGAGATCTTCAGTCTCCAGCAGGAGAGAACAGCACATTAACTGTACAGCTGTGCTGGCCAGCACACAACACTGCCCTGCCTGATACATTGGAGACGTGGCTTAGGAATTTCAGCTCCTGATTGTTGTGAGATTGCTGTTCACAGCAGAACAAAACTACCCCACCGACGTCACTCTGTTGGATTTCATAATTAGCTTTTCTATGCTCTTACTGTACTGAGTCTTTTGAATTAAAGCAAGTATGCAGTGGGATTTTTATGGATCCCAGGAAAGATCCATTTCTTTGTTGGATGATGCTGACAAATCAATTAAATTTTTTTTGGGGCTCAAAACATCTGATGTGCAGATCTTGTTATTTCAGCAGTTAATTAGCTCCTTTCCCACTTGTGTCTTCCATCATTCCTTCCTTGTGCTGCTCACACAATGAAATCAGTAAAAAATCAGAAATACTTATTTTGTCTCAGTGTTGGGTCTAGAAAGATAATGGCAACACTTGACTCCATCAGTAAACATTCCTTATTGAACTGCAGGAACCAACCTTAGACCTGTGCCCTAATCCTGCCCAAGGCAAAATGTCATGAGGCTCTCCTTGCCTGAACTGCTGCATCCCAGCCCCAAAAATGTGGGGATCACAAAGCATAAATGTAAGTGGATAATTTTCTTGTGGTTCCCTATTTATTTTAAGAGTGGCTTTTCAACAAGTCCTTATTGTTCAGAAATAGTACAGTATGTGCTTTCAAGCAGTGCCATGATATTTAGGAATACCTGCACTTCCTTTGCTGAAATTTATAGGTGTTTTATAGAAACTGGAAACTCCCACGCACAAATTGTTGCACAAAATTCTGTGGGTTCGAATGCCTACTAGAAACAAGTAGATCCAAAAGTAAAGAAATAAAATCTAAATCTATACCCATATCTATATGCAAAGTGGGTGCTATTACCTTTTTCTGAGCCTTTGGAAAATGTAATAAAATGCATAAACTGTGTACTTTCTATGTATTTATTTTTCCTATAGATGTGATGTTTTTCACAGCTCCACAATTAAAATTACTTTACTCCCTGTGCCATTAAATGGCTGTGGCAGGTACAACAGCATAATCTTCAACTGAGAGATGGGACTATCGGTTTCCTTTCCTACTCAGCAACCCCCTGGTACTGATGTTTTAAGAAGGTTCATGCTCTGACAATAAATTCAGGTCCATAAACCATGGAGTTAATATGCAGTCTGTGTCATTAATATACATTTATCTTTCTTTTCAATAGATTTTCAGAAGTCTTTTCCATAAAAGGTACTTTTGCACTCAAAAGGGATCACTGGCTATTGAAATCTGTACAGCATTTAATTTCAAAGTTCAGGTTGGTCACTTGACCACTCTTGATGGTGATGCTTGACACCTCTGTCCTGGTTTTTGGGTTGTGGTAGAGGCGCAAGATTTAAAAACTCTCTTTACAAACATTTGTCCAGGCAAAGCTCTCAGGTCCAAGGTAACCTCTTCGTTTCTCACTTACGGCAGACCTATGTTTTGCATAGAGTTACAGAAAACACAGGAATGGAGGAGATAGTGCTACAACAAGGGCCAGTTCCCATCACCCTTCATGCCCTCAAGCAGTCATTTATAGTCCTATCCTTTTTTTTTTTTTTTCCTTTGGCCTTGTGCTACAAAGCAGAAATGGGGTCAGGGGAGCAACTTTGATTTTGTGAGAGCAGAAAACTGAGGGTGTTTTCTCAGGGTGCAAAGGAACCTTTCCAGCTGACAAACAGGGTGATAACACAAGTTAATATGTTGGCACCGAGACCTTTCTGACACTGGAAATACAAGGTGATAATTTCAGTCACTGTGAAAAGTTCATGTGGATACCTTCATCACGTGGGATGTATTACAGAGAAACCTCTCGCTGCAGACAGTAGCTCTGCCTACCTTGGCTGTGACATAAAGCTCCCAATTAGCACTTAAGGAAAGAGACTTTACAGGCTGCACACTCACCTCGGCTCAGCCCATCTGGTCCCCGAAGGATTCGGCATTCTTCTATCTGGCCGAACGGAGAAAACATCACCCTGATATCATTCTCATTACACTTCTTCGAAACCATTCCTATGAACAATTTTCTGTCTTCCACAGCTAGAAGATAAAAATAATGAATGAGCAAAGGCCATTTCATCTTTTTGCTGTGATCAATGCTTCATTACCACATCAAACCAAGCTCCAGTCATGTGAGTCTGGCTCTGTGACTGAAGACAAGTCCTAAGGCAAACACTTTATACTTACAACCTCCCTTCCCCCCCTCCTTTCCCCCCCAGATATCTCATTTTTCTCTCCCTCCTTTTTCTAGTGGTGCTTGCTGTTTATATAACATATTAATTGGCTGTCTTAGTCACTCTGCATACACCTATCCTTCATGGCCTCTAAAAGGAAAGTATCCTCCATTAGAGACACTTTTAAAGATATCTTTGCATAGATTCTAATTCAGATAAATTCCTTCATTCCCCTCATGTGTGAAAGAAATCATGATGGGGTGAGGGTAAAGAAGGGATTGTGCACGTAATGATACAAGCTAATGAAAAATATTCCTGAGAAATGTTTTGAGAGCAATTCCTATCTGAGCTTTCAATTTCAGCCAACTTATTGCACAGCACTGGAAAAGGCAGATGTGCAATGACTGCTCTGGAAAAAGAATGCATTACATTTTTCTGCTGGATTTTTTTTAGTGCCACAGCCTTCTGCCCTTCAGGAGGTCAGAAGACATATTTCTGAACATCACCTGAACACCCTTTGATGCGTAATGATGTTGAGTTTGCAAAAAAACCCAAATCATTAAAAACGTGCTTTACCTGAATTATTGGTAGAATATTTCCTGCCTGCACTGTCACCAACACCAGCACAAGTTGGACTGCTGAAGCAGGATGCACACAGTCCTATTAATCAAACTCAAATTTACCGGTCTAAAGCAGGGGACTCTTGTCAAAAATGAAGGAGGTCATCAAAACTTAATTCACTCTGGAAAAACTTCCAAATGTTAATGCACCCACCCATCTATATTAAACCAAAAATCTAAGTGCTTATTATACAGTACATACACCAGTGCTTTCTTCTTCTCTGGAAATGGCATGTAAATCCAATTCCCTGTTAATGAGCAGACTGTCAGGGTTTGTGGGGGAGCAAAGAGGGAAGGAAAGCTTTACTCCAGAGATTCTGCAGTGCACTTACTTATTTCTATTATTGTGCAAATTATTTTTGTAATGAAGTATTTTCATTTCTGGGCTTACAAAAAAAAAAAAAAAAATCCTCCCTTGCTCTCTAACTCTGTCTCCTGTATTAGTACAAGTCTGTCATATGGAAAAAATTGCAGCTGAGGAAGAAGGAACCGTGTCCATTTTTTCTAGGATTTTATTTCTGTTATACTTCAACATTTTCAGTGCATTTAATAATTTCAAGAATAACAAGAAGAGGTTCATGTTTATTGATCACGAGAAGTGTTTGAAGTAATTTTCTCCTTAAATCGTTGACTTTAAAAAGTATTTGTAGCTTTTATATAAGCAAGCACCAAACCCATGCATTTTTCAGAACCCAAAACAGAGACCAGCCCCAGCAATCCTAGCCTCTCACTCTACAAGCTTGCAAGAAAATTGGTGTGAATTTAACACCCAGGGGAAGATGTTTTCTTCAGTAAATTCCTCAAGACTGAACATTTTCATTCACACTTTATATTGAGGTTCCACACACAGGTGAACCCTCCAGAAAGGGTTAAGAAATGATGAATGCATGGGATGAGACATTTATATACAGATCAGGAGCTGAATATGTGTGATTGCAAATAAGACCTGCAAGTTGGGATATTTTTATTTATATATATAAATATATATGTCTCATTATGAAGCTTTACATCTGATTCATAATATATAGCTGACCTTGATGTTGCTAAATATTATTTTAAGGGTGGGAAGGCTGAATTCCCTTGCTCACAGCTACAAGAGGAGTACAGGCAGCCACTTCTGCTGGTGGAAGGATGCCTGTAAGCTGACTGCAGACAATTCCTATATTGCCTTGAGCAATCTCTTTGAGGAAGTTCCCTGGCCAGCCTGTCCCCTCAACAACAGCCACAGACTGTCCATAATGCAGGAAAGGTTTTGAGACAAGGGATCCAGCTGGGCTGCCAGGCTTGGATTTCTCCACACCATGGCCTGAGGTCAGGCTGGGTGAAGCCTTGGTGTCAAGCACATTTCCAAGCATTGCCTTCTGCTCTGTGTCATGAACCTTGTATTTTGTGTCTCTGTGTCAGCTAGTACCAACCAGTTTAAATTTGATCTTAGGCTGGAAATACAGTGTGCAGGTCTGCTTAAGGGTGTCTAGATTCCAACTCTCTTTTAGAAATAGCTGCTGGCTAAGTTGGACAAATTCCTGCTACAGTATCCCAAAAGAGGATGCTTGGGTCCTGCTTTGGTGCCAGGACAAAGCCTCAAACCAAGGAGATTCATGTAGAGACTCAAAAGAAATGAGATGTGAACAGAAGGCTTTGTTTTAATTTTCCAAAGAGTAGCAGGTGACAAACTCCCCATCGGCCGCCTCCGGTTTTGGTAGTAAACCTATAAATATGCCATTTAACTAACATGATTTGCAGGTTTGCAGCTTGAGGGTGATTTTATAGTAAATTAAACATCCAGCTCCTGTGTACTGTACATCTTAAAAATGCAGATTTCATGAAGAATGCTTGGAGTACAGAAAACATATTGATATGATGACGTGCTCTGCATTCAGTGCCATTAGTCAGTGCTGATCAGTGTTGAAGCTTAAGAAAATTGCTGTTCTTTTTCTGGCTAGAGGCCCAGCATAAAAAAACATTTAAAGTGACAATTGTTAAGATCAAAATGACATGTTTTCACTTCATCTGATAGAACATCTGATATTATTAGGCTGAAAGAGTTTTTCCCACATGGAGAAGGGAATACTTTTCCACCTTGGTAAGACTGATTTTCAAGAGTTATTTCTGCATTTTTGGAAAGCCATTTCTTTCTTTCTAAAATGAATTCTTACCAGCCACACAGGCAAGGCTTGAGAATCAGACAACAGAGTGCAAGAAAGTGTGGGGTCAAATGTTTTTTAGAGGTTAGCAAACTTCCCTCTGGATCTTCCAAACCCGTGGATTTTCCTAATGGATTTCTGTTATGGACTGTAAAATGGGGATTAAACATACTGAGGCTGGGACAGGTGCTGCTGCTTAGGGAAAGGATGGAAGCCTAAATCTGGCCTAGCTTCAGTGACCTACAGGTTTGGTCTCAGCTCAACTGGTTGTTGGCAATGCCAAGAGATCAGCTCCTTCAAAGAGTGACAGATCTCACCTCTCCCAGCAAGGTGGCATGGCCTTTGTCATGGGAGTCTTTCCTTTGCTAATGATTACAGAGTAGAGAGTAGATTACAGATTTTTTTGCACTGACTGAGTGGATTGATAGAGGCTGTTACCTTCCAGCCAACTCCCAGATCTTAGGCATCATGACAGCATCCAGATGTCCTGAGCTCCAGGTGCAGGGACATCAGGAGTGAATGAGCTCAGAGGGGCTGGGCAAAGCCTGGGAGCTGAAAGTGCTTTTGGCAATGAGAGCAGGCAAAGAAAAAGGGGGAAGGATAACAGTGTGCAAGGGCCAGCACATGTACACATATCTCAAAGCATATCACTGCTGCTTGATAACTCTTTCTCCCACCCTTGGGGTAGGTTTCAACAATTCAAAATCCAGAAAAACCAAACTCTTTTAGCATGTGTTTGACATCATTATTTCTGAACCTCGCTTATGGGCTTAGTTGAACTTTCTGACTATTTTACACCACTCTGGGGGAATGAAGGATATACAACAGTTTGGAAGCAGCAGGTAGTTTGGGGTGGCTGAGTGCCCCTCCTTGATGGAGCAGAAGCAGCCAGAAGGTCACAGTAAACAAGGCCTGAAGTTTTGTTTATAGGAAGGAAAGTGTGAAACTGCACAGTTTCTTGATTAACACATTATGGGGTTCACCTTTAATCCATCCCAACACATTACAAAGGCAGGTTGGCTGTGCTGCCAGGGCAGTTTGAGTGACACATCCAGTGCTAAGCCTGCTGGATTTGGGGTGGGGTTTGCCAGAATGCAGGAGCACTGCATGAAGAGATACAGATACCTATTTTAGAATAAGTAGAGTTGCTCTTGTAACCCTGTCAAGGCAAGCACTGCTATCACTAGCACATGTGCCAGGGCATCATGTTTGAACCCAGAACTCTGCTTTAGCCGTCAAAGGTTATCTGAGATGAAATCTGTCTCTGCTGGGAGGGGAACTTTTCAAACTGAGCCTCCTGTCTTCTGACAGCACTACACCCAGCCTGCAGAAAAACATCCTGAAGCATCTAATTTTTTAGCTTTACTCAATTTGCTTCAGTAATGAGCATTTCTTGCAGGCTGTATTAGATTGCTTGTGCTAACCCAAGAGGATAAAGGAGTAGAGATTATATTCTGAATGCTACAAAAGAATTAAACCCTGTAATAATTGTGAGAAATCTCCCTGAAGATTCAACATAACTTTTTTTTTTCACTCCTCTAAACCCCCAAAATTTTGAAAGATCAAAATTATAGCCCTTTGTTGTACATTTCTGAGGAGTGATCTTCAGATAAAGAATGAATTTTCTCCCCAGAAGATGCCTTCTCTTTTGAGCAACTAGATAAGTAGTTAATTATGTATAAATGGCGTGGAGGATTGGTTTGTTTTTTTGGGTTTTTTTTTCAGTTTGGTTTTGGTTTTTTACTCCCATATAGAAGGGAAAAGGTGAAATCAGATTTTTTATCCCTAGCTGTAAGCCTGTGAAAACCCCTTGCATACAATCTGTCAAAGTCACACCTGAATCCGGAGCTGCCTGCATTAATTATCAACTTTTCTATGTGTTAGTGCTAACATATGGCATCTAATTACTACCCCCAATTCAGCAAAGTTGTGCCATTTAGAATTTAAAAATTATTTTTTTTAAATTTCCATTAATGAAATCAATAAAAATAAATCATAAGATTACTCAGCTACTCTCCTCCCTACTTTATTTTTTTTTAATAGAGAATTCTATCATTCTCCCTGAAGCAGTGATGCTTTGATCAATTTAAGAGCATACTGTCTGCAGGATATGTGCCTGAAAGTATTTGACTGTGTTCAAATCCAGATCCAAGACATTTAAGCATTTAAAAATTGTAGGATGCTAATGGCCACAGACAACTTAAAGTCAAACGGGTGTTTGTAAGTTTTTCAGCATCAGACTGGAGGAACCCCCTTTGTTTGAAAAAGGGAAAATGTCCTTAAAAGGATAAATACTGTGAGTGGAAAGTCTAGTAATGGTGGAGCTTTTGAAGTTGAAAACATGCTTTTTTGTCAGAAAATCCTTAACCAAAACTTTCTAGACAGGTTAAAACAACCTGCACAAAGGTGATCAGACCAGGACACACTACAAAATTCATAATCTGCAAATCTTGAAGAGTTGTTATGATTTTCAACAATAAGAAGCTTTTCAGAATCCCCTTGGGTAGTCAAATTAATTAAATCTGAAGGCAAGTCTTGCCCCATCAACTCTAGATACTAAAAGCTTGGTGGAAGAGATCAAGATTTGCTTCATCTGCATGAGCAGAGAAATGACTTAGACACATTGTAGGCAGGGAATGAACCATTGGAAAAGTTGCCCAGCAGAGCTGTGGATGTCCCAGCCCTGGAAGTGTTCACAGCCAGGCTGGATGGGGCTCTGAGTAACCTGGTCCAGGTGTGCTGGAGGTGTCCCTTCCATACCCATTTCCCAGCTTCCATAAGGTGAGCTTGGCCTCTGGTATCAAGGGACAGATTCCTCAGGTGATGCAGACTAAGGGCAGGAACAGTGATGCAAAAGAAGGAGGATTTAATCTCAGGAGTCTCTGGCTTGGATGCTCATTCCAAGCTTTTTCACAAGGGACTCAATATGGGGAGGGGGCATTTAATCACATAGCAAATATTGTTCTTTGAAAACTTCTGTAAATTGAATGAGAGGACCTGTCCTACCTCCCTATGGAACTTGAAGATGTCTATCAATCCTTCACAAACATGTACAAGCTCAGAAGAATTGTAGAGTGCTCAATTTATCCTACACATATTTCCATAAGAAAATTGCTTTAGCCTCTTTGCAAACTGAGAAACATGACTTTAGCCATAAAATCCATTGGGATCCTCCCATGACTCAGAAATCAAAGAGACTCGAGTATTCCTCAAAAGCTCAACTACCACGGATCCTGAAAACCAAGATGCCTTGGCATGTCTTTTTTTCTTTTCCCCTTTGAACTTACCAATCTGGTTGAAGAGGTACAGTTTACAGTTTGCTGTTGGCATGGATAATATACCTCCTCAGATGGATAGCCTGGAGCATATGGGAAACATGTGCCAAACAAACTTCCACATCCCCCATGCTGTTGCTTTTTCTTTCTTGATCTCCAAGCTGCTGGCAAACTGTCACCCACTCCATGAACCCCATGCCTATGCCTTGCCTTTCAGAGGAGCTGTACCATTATTACCATCATCATGGTATTAGTTTGCCTTCTGTTTCTCCATTTGATTAAAAAAGAAAAAAACAGTTCACTATCCCTTGAACATGCCTATCAGAAGTTCCCACACCCTTCAGGAATCTAAATTTAAAAAGGTGTTTAATTTGACAGTTGGAACCCCTGAACTGACAATTTGTTTTTTCCCAAAAAATACAAAGAAAGGCAAGAAAAAAAAAGGTGAAAAAACACAATCCCTTGTGATCTTTATGCTTGGAATAGATGCCAGAAAATAAGAGAGTATTCCCACAGTGCAGACAGGAGTTTCATGCAGATAACCCCAGACTAACAGCAGCAGCCAGGAGCTAACCTACCCCGCTTTCAAAGCAGGCACTACTTGCAGAGAAGGACAGAATTTGCACAATTCCCCACAGTGTTTTTCCAATATGTTCAATCTCCTTGAGAAAGAAACACTTCAGGCAATGAACAAGTAACTCACTGGGAGTCAATTTTGGCCCATTGCCTCTTATTTTTCTAATTTGCCAAGGAAATTGAGGTGAAATTTGTCTTTGAAAGAAGAACCCATAGAGGCCATACTTAGTTCAGAGGGTTCAGGCCAGCATTTCTGTGCCTAAGGGATAATTGTGCCCACTGCTAGCAGTAAATACTAGTGCCTGGAGTCTGGATTCCAGCAGTAATGTTCTCCTTGACTGCAGTGGGGCCTGAAAAGTTCAGTTCTCCTGCCCACACAGGTGCCTTAGCCTCTATTCTGAGCACTCAGAGACAGCAAGAAATCACTGCAAAAAATCTTTGGGAAAATGTTCTTCACCCACAGGGAGGCTGGGCACTGGAAGAGGCTCCCCAGGGCAGTGGTCACAGCGCCAGACTGACAGAGGTCAAGGAGCATTTCGACAACGCTCTTAAGGACATGGTGGGATTTTTGGAATTGTCCTGTGCAGGGCCAGGAATTAGACTTTGAGAATCCTCATGGATGGATATCTATCCTTTCCAACTCAGAATATTCAATGATTCTATGATTCCAACCTGAGAGAGAGAACACCCCCTCCCATACAAATGGGTGGTGGCCCATATTTCCTGTGCTTTTGGCCACTATTTTTTGGAAAGTTGTCATAATGGGAAACCTAGTATAATGTGAATTTTTAATTTCCTTCCAAACTTCATAATCCTTGGAGAAGCCTGAAAAAGGGATGCACTACAATTAGCAAAAAAAGAAGCCTTAAAAAAGCCTTGCGGAGAGATTTAGAGCCCAATCATAATTTACATTTGCAGGTATGTAGATCTCTAAGTGCACGGCTTCTGCCCTGATTACTAATTAATGAGGTGCAAAAATGCCTGTTGGAGGAACCAGCTCTGATTATGTGGGCCTTAAGGGAAAATGAAGCTCTTGCAATCTAAGAAGGCAGATGATATCTTTAACATATATTTTAGAAAATTACAGGAACAAATCAAGGGGCAAAATATACACGTATATATTTTTAAAGAATCACATGTTGCCAAGTTGCACTACCATTCGATTATCTTATTTCCCTGAATATATAAACCTGGAATGTTTAATAAATTTAGCTTGCCATCTATTTTGCATGTCATATACATCCACTTAGGCAGTACCCTAGTATTCCAAATGGATATTACTGTCTTTATAGCATTCATTTTTCAATCGTTTTGAGGAATAAGTATACAGAGAGCTCCAAAGTGGGCTTCCCAGCTCATAATGAAGCATATGATTAAAATCTAAATTTGGCTCAGATTCAGAATGGCATCATTCTGTATAAAGGTACTTTTGGCAGATGTTTAAGGCTGATCATGTACTTACATAATGTGTTAACACAGGTATGCCCTTTTGTTTCTTTTATTTTAAATTTTCAGCATCAACATTTTATCTCCATCTTATCATTCTCAGGTGCTCCCACATCACCTCACTGTTAGGAGAACCCAAGGGAAGGATGTATGTAGTGAGGTAGGTCATGACATACAGCAGGTACAAGAAAGACCCTTTTTTGAGGACATTTCCTTCCTTGTCTAAAGCAGAAGATAAAAGGGAGTTCAGAGCTGCTCAACATCTTCCTGGCATGTCAGTTGTAGGGAAACTGCCTATTATTTTCACCACAAAAGGATTAAAGCAAAAACTCTCACAATGTTGTGCTTACTTTAGTTTAGAGAAAGACACAATTAAGTAAAAATAAATTGAACACATACCATTTGACTTTTCACTATCTGCAGGTTTCATCTGAATAGGATGATGCATCTAAAAACAAAAATGAAAGAGAGTAAGGCAGGTTGGATAGTCATAAAAAATCAAGAGTGATGTTTTCAATGAAGGGCTAAAAAGAGACACAATTTAATATTAAACATGGTGAAATTATATAAATTTGGAATATCACTGTATATTATAGGCTTATAAGAAAAAATAAAATGGCAAAGGAGTATTTTATAATGAGGAAATTTAAAAAAAATAAAATATCATTGGGCCCATAGGACTCATATAAATCTTTAATTTGCTGTATCTAGTTTCAGAAGACCTCTAAAGTTACAGCCCTCTTTAGTTTATGGCATGCTTGGTTTCTGTTTTACCAGCTTTTTTTTTATCCTTGTGCTCAACCACTGCCAAAACCAAGATGCAATTTTCAAGTAATTTAAGAACTAGCAAGCATTTCAAATGTACTCAGAGGAGTTGAGTTTGACAAATGAACTTTGCTTGTAATTAAAAAACTCTGCTGATTCTTTTAGGACTGAAGAAGAAGAGATCTTGATTCCTAAAACAGCTTCCTATAATTGTTTAGTATCTCATATTTTTGTTTTAGAATCCATTACACATTCATTCATAAAGCTTCCACCACAACACATAACAATTCTGGCTTCCATAAAAATTCCAAATCCTTTTTCCTTTTCAACCTCTTCCTCCATTCATGTCCTTGTTACTGCAGTGTTCTGTGCTGAACATCCCACCTTGGCACACTCAGGCTGGTGTGTCCTCAGCTTTTTCTACTAAATGATACTGCTCCCACACTGAATTGTTGATAGCTCCAATAAAATTTCTACAAATGGTGGTTTTGTTCTTTCAGGAATAATAACACCACAGCAGTTGAGCTCCCTCACAATCAGAGTTTTCCGCAGGAAATTGGTGATAGCCAGCCCTGTGGCCACTGTGGTGTGTTCAGGGAAATTTTATTATAGCTTCTCAAAAGCCTCCAGAACTGACCTCACACTGAGATTCAATGTGGGAGATGTTTAAGCTTGCAAAAAAACCCCCCCATTTTAATTTTCTTTCTTGGGCTCTGCGTAGTTACTGGGATTTGACTGCACAAACCTTCTGGCAGTAGCAGGGCCACTGCCTTTTCTCTCCTCAGCAATTCCTTACCAATTCATGTGAACAGGTGAAAAAAATGTATGCTTTTTCTACTTTTGTATCATTTTTCAGTGCAGCACAGCTGTGTATTGCCTGAAAATGTCAGAGGCAATTCCACTTTTTTAATAAAAGATTGTTATGACAAACTCTGGGAAACAAAAACAGCTGAGCAGGAGAGAACATCCATGCCCTCATATCAAATATGCCTTCAAAGCTGCACAGAAACCTACATCTGCATTGCTTTTGGTGAAGTAACTTAACCACCAGGGAAAAAGTTGCTGGATTCTTCAGAAAATATAAAATATTGCTGTGAATGTTTCTGTTAGATTTACTCAAAGTCCAGAATGCTCCCTGGCCTTGCAAATCAATGTATTCCCTGTGCTGCTTGCACAACTCCCCAGTGTGTCCTAGGGAAAGGCAAAGCCACAAGGTAGATGCAGTTGTAGGGATGCATAAATTTTCTTCAGTTTTAACAGTTCTGCTCCCTTTGAATCATTTGTTTCCTAAATGGACTTTAATAGCCCAGCACTTGGTTGCTACCACTGTTATTAGATCAGTTTTATAGGAAAAAAAAGCATCTTCTATCGTTCTCTGTCTTCTTTAGTGCTTTGGATTTTTCCTGACATCAACAATACACTGGGCACTGCAGGAGACTTAAAATTTGTGGGCATGTGAGGCAGCATGTCCATTCAGCAAGCAAAAACAGGAAGAAGAAAAGAGGCGTAAGTTGCTCCACAAGGCCATTGCTGTTACTGATGTCTCTGAGGAGCAATGGAGTGGTGAGACAACAGAGGAAAGAAAGGCACGCATTGAAAATTCAGGAATATGCAAGATGAAAGAGAAAAAACCATCCCAATTTCAGGCCTTTTGTAAACAGAGAACCAATCTATTGCTCTTTAGAGATGTGTTTATGTGCCCCTAAGAGGAGATACTTTGAATAAAGGCTATTCTAACAACATTAAAAACATCTCACTTTTCAAACTGCCCAAACCAGAGAAGCCAACTTTAGACCAAATTCAGGTGAAGAAGTTATTTTTGCAGCTCATGGTCACAACACAAAGATCAGTGTTACCTGACAAGCACATTTATAAAGTCATCCTCTACAGTCACACATCATTACTCCAAGTTCATTAACTCAGTAATCTGGTACATTCACAAACCAAGAGGCAAGATTTACCAGAATGCTTCAAATAGGTTTTGACTTGATTTCAAAAGTTCCTGCTAAAAACTCATGGTCCACATTCTCTTCACACCATCAAGATGAATTTGGGAGCGATGCTATCGGGCTTAAAATTGTATCGGTGAAAAACTAATAAAAGATCCAGCTCAGGCCTGGGGAGTTTAAACTGCAGAACACCCCCAGAAAAATGGATGTGATACACAGACCAGGCTTCAGTGAAGAGGAAAGTGGAAAAATACCTTACTGACAGTTTCCTAACATGAGAGGGCTCATGTTGAAGCTTGTTTAACCCTGACCATCACCAATTGATACGTTAACAACCTTTAACACTAGATTCAATAAAACATGCCATTTATAACCTGAAATGGGTTTTACAGAGTCACTGGTTCGCATCTCATTATTAAACTCATTGCTGACCTCTAGAGACAACTGCCGTGACAATACATATTATAAGCTCTCTACCCATAAAATATTTAAAGGTATGTGTAAAAAAGAAAAGAAAAGAATGACTCTCAAAAGAAGTGTGTAGTGAATAAGAAAATTAAAGGGGCAGAGACAAAAGTTAAATAGGAACTATCCTTTCACTCTACAATGAGCAAAAGACAAAATAATTTGTATGTTTTGTATCTTTCTTATATAACTGCAGGCTATAAAATAATAAAATAGCTGTGCTTTCCCAGGCACTCCAAAAGATTATAGATGATATAAAACTGTTTCAAATTAGATGCCATTCACTGGAATCATGTCATCTACTGAAATGAAGGATTTCCCGTGTTATTGGAAAGCTGTTATTGTAACTATACATCACTTATGGATCTCAAGGTAAGTGATTTCTCAGTATGTCATGTTGTCACACAAAACAACAGGAAACATTTTCTTCTTTTCTTGGAGAAAGCTTTGCTTATGAAAATACAGTATTTATAAATGCACACTTACAATTAATAAAGAGGCAAGAACAAGAAAAATAACTTCAGCAAGTAATTTATTACCTTGAACATCATCCTATGCTCAGCACACACAGTAAAAGAGAACAACACAGCTCTCAGGCAAGTTCTTTCTGAGCATGGGCAGCTTCCCCTTGCAAGTACTGTGCATGGAGATATCAAACCCAGGCTGGAGTATGGGCTGTGAGGAGCAACCTCTCCTCATCAGTATTACAGAGAGCTCTACTGAACACACTTGTGCAGCAAGCAGGGCATCACCTGCCTTTGCTACAGGTGCTCTCTGCCCATCAGTCTCAAAACACACCATACCACCCTTTTACAGCTGAGAGCAGGCAAATGCCTGTTGCCCAAGGTTGCCAATGCCTTGTGGCAGTGCTGGCAGCAAAGTGGGGGCTTCACTGCTGTTTGTGCTGTCACAGAGGCCACCCAAAGCCCAGGGCCAGGAATGTCACTGCCTCTCCTTGGGCGCATCCCAAGCAGGGGTGCTGAGGCAGTCCATAGGAATCAAAAAGACAAAGAAACAGTTGTCAAACATGCAACCCTGAAAATCCCCCTGAAATTAATGAGAATCTGGCTGCTGGCTATGTCCAGGGCAGCAGCAGGAGTGCCAAGGCCTAGAATTACAATTGAATCGTTATATCTTTTCCCCCCCTCTTTTTCCTGAGTACATCTTGCTGTATGTAAACATAAGTCATTAAAGAAAAAAAAAAACACAGCAAAGCAACCAATGCATCTCAAAGGCATGCCACCTCTCCAGCTTTAGAGCCTCAAAGTCATCTTTTCAACAAAAATAGCAGTACCTATTTACATTCTTGTCAAAGCCATGTGACATCTGCATGGGAGAAAACAAGCTGGCTAAGAGTCTATTTCTGGCAAAAATATTGCAAGGAAATTAGATTAACCTGGGTGGAATTCTATCTGGGAATTTGGAGTCTGTCGTGGTGATTAAGTCATCATTTCTGTCAGATTACTCTAATCGGCTGTCAAATACGATTCCACAACCCCATCTGTAACTTGGCATCCTCGTTATTCAGTCGATGTTACCTTCTGTATACAAAACAAACACCAAACAAGGAGGTGTGTGCAGTCTAGCATTTAGCAGAGTCATTAGCTGTGATTACTATTGTGTGGTTGCACATTGCACAAGGTGATCAGCTCATGGTTTCCTTTTGTTTAGTCGGGGGGGGGGGGGGGGGGGGGGGGGGTGCTTCAAATCAGGTGCAACCTTATGAGGGGTCAGGGGTGAATGGGTAAGAACTGTCTCCAGACATGGACGAACATGGAATTGGCACACTCCAAGTGACCACTGCATCAACAGCAACTGCTTAAATCACATTTCAGAGCTGTCAATATATTTGCTGGAAAGGCTTTTGGACACCTGCTTTCCATCAATTTTCTGAAGAGAAATGGGCATTCAGATGTTCTGGGTAGGCTAAAGACTTCCTGCAAGCAGCAATTTCTGCGAGTGAAACAAGGTTTTTAGGAGGAGGCAGTTGGCACTCGAAATAGTCTGTATTGGCTGCTTTAAGATGTTACACGAGTATGATAGTCTTACACATGTTTTTGGTGATTAAAAGCAGGAGATGCCTTTCAGTGAAGATGAAGGAGCTGATGGGCTCATTTTGCTGCAGCTGTGTTGAGTCTGTGAAATTTGGATACCCTCAGCATCTCTGAAACTTTGGCCACCTAGACTGAAAAATCTTTTTTTTTTGATGGTCCATTGCAAAAGCACCTTCATACACGATTACTGCATCTGTTAGCAGCTTTTGTGGGCT